ACCCATGTCGTCCAGACCCGTGACTTCACACCCATGTCGTCCAGACCCGTGACTTCACACCCATGTCGTCCAGACCCGTGACTTCACACCCATGTTGTCCCGAGGTCCTGATGGTGAGCATCAGAGATAGGATTGTGCTCCCTGAGGCTCATCCCAGGTATCCTGAAGGACTTGTCTGCTCAGGGTGAATCATTCTGTAAGCGCCTCCTTGCTCTTCCATTGAGGTGCCACGCTCCTTTCTGCCTCAGGGCTGTTGTGCACCTGCTCTTTCCTGTTGGTGGACACCTGAAATTATACGTGTTTGTTATCTAAGTCCCATCTCCTCTCTTCTTGCATGAAAACTCTCTGTGAGGGTTGGTTATCTTCTGGGTGCCTGGAATAGTGTTTCTGTGTATAGGCATTCAGTAACAACTAGTTGAATGAATAAACAAATGAATGGTTGGTTTATCCATCCAGCGCCTTACATTTTGGTCTGTAACTTTTCCTTACCATTATTTAAGAGAGTTCTGTGCTGATTATACTAATTTCTGTGCAAATGATGTTTGGCAGACTTTAATAATTTATTAAGGAAATGCTAAGTGATTTAAAATATAATCACCAAATTGCAGGGTTGACATGAAAATCCACTATTACTTCCAGGCATTGGGTTATGCTTTTAGCAACTCCAGTTGTTAGAAGCTTCTGTTTATGTTGAGCCAGATCCAGAGCCAGGAAAACAGCTCTAATAACTCTTCTTCTATTACTGTCAGTTTGTTACTAAGTCCTCCTTCAACGGTTCATCATGTGATGAGGGAGTTTTTTTGGTGACTTTGCTATCTTGGTCATGTCAGTGGTACTTGCTACTCTGGCTGTTTAGTGCCTTGAAATTGTTCTTGAATATAGAACCCATGGTGTGGTCTGGCCCCTTCATCCTGTCCCCTGTCTTTGTTGTTGAACTGTACAGTCTAATGGACACGGTGTCAGTCAGGAGGAAATGTTCCTGTCCTGTTTCCAGCAGCTGCCACGTTACTTCCACTTGGCACACTGAATACTCAGGAGATTCTGTGAAAATTAAAGGTGTCTGAAAAGTTCCACCAGCACAGGATGGACAGCCAGAGCCTGTACCTTCGAGTCTGTTGTTATTTTATTTTATTTTTTTATGACAATGTCTCACTTAGTCACCCTGGGTAGAGGGCTGTGGCATCACAGCTCACAGCAACCTCAAACTCTTGGGCTTAAGTGATTCTCTTGCCTCAGCCTCCCAAGTAGCTGGGACTACAGGCTCTGCTACCACACCTGACCTAGCTTTCCTATTTCTAGTAGAGACTGGGTCTTGCTCTTGCTCAGATTGGTCTCCAACTTCTGAACACAAACAATCTACCTGCCTCAGCCTCCCGGAGACTGGCCCCCAATGTTAATTTAAATGTGCCCCTCCTTCACCTCTGCAGTAGCTAACAAGACGGTCTTGCCACTCTGTGTAACGCACACCTCTTAAAACTTTTTGTTTTGACAGTTTTTTGTCTCACCTAATTTGGCCACATTTGTTTTGAGCGTGGTGCCTCCAGTGTCCATCATTGCTGTGATTTATGGACGATATCTAAGGAAACTGACCAAAGTCACTCAGGATTCCCTGGCTGAAGCCACCCAGGTAAAGGTCGCTTCTCATCCTTGTGTTCCCTTGTGGACCGACTCAGAGCCTTGCTGCTGGAAGGATGTGCTTCAGCTTTTCAATGAAGTTTCTTCCTTTCCTCACATTAGACCCCAACATCCCAGAACTCTGCCATCTCAGTTAAGTTTCTACTCATATCTCGAAGTAGATCCCAATTAAGTAAGCATTGTGTGAAGTTCTCAGTTCTTCCCAAAGCTTATAGGACAATAAGTTAATCTTGTTTTGAAAATAGTTACTCATGACACTATGACTTTTCGTTAATTTAATAAAGCTAGCTTTGCAGAGCTGCACAATATTATCTTCATGAAAACTAAACATAACTTAATGTTTTAACGTTATGTTACAAAAGGCATGCATGTTTGTCATTGAAAAATAAGAAAACATAAAGAGAAAAAAACAAAAGCACATATAATCCTCTCTTACTGAATTAACATTAGCATTTTGGAATCTAACCATTCTTTTTTTTCTCTGCATAAAAATATATTTGTACATCTACCTACTCTCTTGTTTTTCTTTCTACGTATATTTGTGATATGTATAGGAATAGATATTTCCCCCAAATAAGATTGTTCTCTATGTTCTGCTTTGTTGTCCCCTCCCTCCCGTTTATCACCTATGCTGGAGTGCAATGGCATGATCATAGCTCACTGCAGCCTCAAACTCCTGGGCTTAAGTGTTCTCTGCCGTGGTCTCTCAAATAGGTCACATTCCACCACATCCAGCTAATTTTTCTATTTTCTGTAGAGATGGTGTCTCACTATATTGCCCCGGCAGGTCTTGTACTCCTCGCCTAAAGTGATCCTCCCCCCTTCCAAAGTGCTGGGATTGGCTCCGGCCTGTGGCTCAAGCAGCTAAGGTGCCAGCCACATACACCTGAGCTGGTGGGTTCAAATCCAGCCTGGGCCCGCCAAACAACAATGACGGCTGCAACCAAAAAATAGCTGGGTGTTGTGGCAGGGGTAGTAGTCCCAGCTATTTGGGAGGCAGAGACAGGAGAATAGCTTGAGCCCAGAAGTTGGAGGTTGCTGTGAGCTGTGATGCTACAACACTGTACCCAGGGTGATAGCTTAAGACTCTGTCTCAAACAAACAAACAACAACAAAAAAAACCAAAGTGCTGGAATTATAGGCAGTGTCGCATGGTCTTACTTTTTTTTTTTTTTTTTTTTTGAGACAGAGCCTCAAGGTGTCCCCCTGGGTAGAGTGCCGTGGCATTACAGCTCACAGCAACCTCCAACTCCTGGGCTCAAGCGAGTCTCCTGCCTCCGCCTCCCAAGTAGCTGGGACTACAGGCGCTCGCCACAACGCCTGGCTATTTTTTGGTTGCAGCCGTCATTGTTGTTTTGGCGGGTCCGGGCTGGGGATTCGAACCCGCCACCTTAGATGTACGTGGCTGGTGCCTTAGCCAGTTGAGCTATAGGCGCCGAGCCCTTTTTTTTTTTTTTTTAATAGTCAGGTATCAAGAGTGGCTTTCTGGCTGGGCATGGTGGCTCACACCTATAATCCTAGCACTCTGGGAGGTCAAGGTGGGTGGGTTGCTTGAGCTCAGAAAAAAAAAGAGCAGCTTTCCGATGATAGTATCTTTAAAATGAGAAACACATTTAAGTTCTGCTTCTAGAAACTCTCAAATCGTGACCCTCTTCCTCCTGAAATGTGTTTATTATTCACCCAGCTAGCTGAGGAACGTATTGGAAATGTGAGAACTGTTCGAGCTTTTGGGAAAGAAATGACTGAAATAGAGAAATATGCCAGCAAAGTGGACCACGTGATGCAGTTAGCAAGGAAGGAGGCGTTTGCTCGGGCAGGCTTCTTTGGAGCAGTAAGTACATCATTTTGGAAAGAGTAAAAGGGCAGATGTTATGACTATGAAAATGTTTTATTCTGTGGCTCTTGACATGAGCAGAAAATAATTCTATTTCCCTTCAAGACTAAGAATGACTTTCTCTAAAGTATTTTTGTGAAAGAGGACGAAAACTGATATATTGAGAAAAGTTAGTGCATGGTAAGATTAGGCATCCTTACCGGCTGATCAGCTTTACTGGGGTTAGCCTTGCCAGGACTCAGACCCTCCCCACCATCTCCTGATATATGGAATTAGAAACTCCAGGCTGAGACTCCCAATGTATTAATAGGCCTTCCTATCATTCTTTTAAAAAATTGTTTAGACAGGGTCTCACTATGTTGCACAGGCTGGAGTACAGTGGGTATTTCAGGTTTGATCATAGCTCACTATAGCCTTGAACTCCTGGACTCAGGGGATCTTCCTGCCTTACTCTCCCATGTAGCTCCCTTGACCACAGGTGGGTACCACTATGCCTAGCATGTCCTCTGGGTCATTCTAATGCAGGTCTGATACCTACTGAGGATTAACTGAAATAACCTTAGTGTGTTTCAAGAAAGAAGTATAAAAAAAAAAAAAACCTCTAAGGGCAGCACCTGTGGCTCAGTGGGCAGGGTGCAGGCCCCATATAACCGAGTACGGCAGGTTCATAACTTGTCCCCGGCCAAATTGCAACCAAAAAAAATAGCTGGGCGTTGTGGTGGGCGCTGTAGTCCCAGCTACTCAGGAGGCTGAGGCAAGAGAATCGCCTAAGCCCAGGAGTTGGAGGTTGCTGTGAGCTGTGACGCCATAGCACTCTACCAAGGGCGACAAAGTGAGACTCTGTCTCTTAAAAAAAAAAACAAACCATGACAACAAACTCAAATAGAACACTGAAATAAAAAATCACCATGAGGACAAATTCCTGATATGCGTAAACTGAAAGTAATTTTCAAGGTGATTCTCTGGTTGCCCTGACTAACAGGTAAGGAAACAGCAGCCTTTACTAGAGACCACACACCAGACAAAGGTAAAAACAGGTCACAAATACAGGACTTTAGAACATCTCATTGTAGTATATAAATACTAACAGATTTTCATCTCTTGCTTCTCACTAGGTAAGGAATCTTTAATACTACTTTTTCCCTTTGCAAATGGGTAGGTTGAGTAAATGGGAATTTGATGGGTTATGTTCATGGGGATGAGATTATTTTAATATTGTAATATTTCAAAATTATTTTTTATTTAAAATTCAGCTGAGATTTAGTATTCTGGAAAATCTTGCTATGGCAGTTAAATGCAAAAAGGCATAATTATAGGCATTTTAGGTCATGGTTCAGCCTTTTACATTCTGGTTTTTGGCTCCCGTCTGACTTCTGTGTTTTCTCCCTTCTACAGACTGGGCTCTCCGGAAACCTGATTGTGCTTTCTGTCCTGTACAAAGGAGGGCTGCTGATGGGCAGTGCCCACATGACAGTGGGCGAACTCTCTTCCTTCCTAATGTATGCTTTCTGGGTTGGAGTAAGCATTGGAGGTATATAATTTAAGTAGGCTTGGGGAATTGCATTAAAAATTGGGGCATCATTTCTGAAATAGAAACTGAAGTTTTCACATTACCTCTCATCAACCAATTTGGAATGAAAAAGGCATTTCCCAGAATGTTGTTATTCCCCTAGGCTTTCAAAGACAAAACATAATAAAATGAGCATGACCCTCCTGCACAGACAGTGAGCAGCTCTGTGGTTAGGAAGTTTGCTGTAGCTCTGGAGCAGCGTTTCCCAGCTTGAACATTAAGACCCCCTGTTCACTTGCCCTCAGATACAGGAAGGAAGAGGGTGCTGCCGAGCAGGCATGGACACGGAAACCCACAGTTCATGATTGGAAAATAGCATTCCATATTTAAAACCAATGGACAATCAAAAAATATTTACGAATTATAAAGTGCATGAAACAGAGTTGCTTGTTTTTGTGAAGAATGTCTCACAGTGTAGCTTTTATTGACCATTCCTGGGTGAAGGGAAGCAAAAACCATGGAGCCAAAGCTGTGCAATCTGAGAAGTTTTCCGTCCTTTTTTTCTGTGCCTTTCCTGTTCCCCCAACAAGAGACAAATGAGTTCTTGGTTTTTGTTTTCCTTCTTCCTGCCTTTTTTGGAGACAGTTTCACTCTATTGCTCAGGCTGTGGCTCTAGCCTAACTCACAGCAACTTAAATCTCCTAGGCTCAAACGATCTTGCCCTCAGCCTCCTGAGTAGCCGGGACTATACCCACCACATTGCCCAGCTAATTTTTCTATTTTTGGTAGAGATGGGGTCCTGCTTTTTCTCAAGCTGGTCTTGAACTCCTGAGCTCAAGGGATCCTCCTGTCTGGGCCTCCCAGAGTGCTAGCATTACAGACACCAGTCACCTTTCTTCCTGTCTTTGAAACCTGAGATGAAACAGTTAGGTTAGGTAAGTAACCTTGAGGTCTGATTAACCAACTGTCATTGACTATTCTATGTGTCACTTCAGCCCAAGTTTTATTTCCAGGGTCTGGGGTCTAATTATTGCAAGTAGAGGTTTTTCCTTAGAAATCTACAGGCAAGTGAGGATGTTTTCTGTCATGAGACTTGCAGACTCCTGGAAAGTGCATTTTAGTTGCTGGATGGTCCTGAAGAAAGGCCTGATTAAGAGGTTACAGGGCACTGAGTGATTTGGGAAGCCAGAGGGCCCAACTGCTCAGGAGGACCCAGGGATAATATATGGCTCTTCCTCTGCATCCCCTGGGCTGAGCTGGAGGACAGCACACTGTGGTATGGTCCTGTTCCTTCCACTCTTCTGTCCTGCCTTGGAGGGGCTTGCCCGTCACCTTCTCTCTCTGTGGCCTCTCTGTTCACCTCTTAGGCCAGACCACAGTCAGCTTTCTTCCCTGGCTTCCCCTCATGTTATGTTTTCTGCCTTATTTGACATGTTTTTTTGTAGTCCCTCCTCTGTACTCCTGACGTAATGGAGGCTCTCTCTGTTTGGGGCTTTTCTATTCCCGCCTTTCACAAGGGACAAGTTCACAACTTTGCCTTAACAGATGGGTTGGAAAACATGTCATTCCATTGGCACTTGGTCACCACCCTTGGTCATAGAAGGCACTGCTGAGTTTGTGTCTATGCAGACACTGGTGACCTGAGTCTGTGTCTGAGTGTGGAGACTGGGGACCTGAGTCTGTGTGTCTGAGTCCAGAGACTGGGGACCTGACTGTGTGTCTGAGTGTGGAGACTGGGGACCTGAGTCTGTGTGTCTGAGTGTGGAGACTGGGGACCTGAGTCTGTGTGTCTGAGTGTGGAGACTGGGGACCTG